GATCCAACTCTAGATAACTATATACACCCTATATAACAACAAGAACAACAACAGATTTATATACAAATATGGGCATTAAGCTGTTGACTGGCTTTCGTGTTGATTTCTTGTCCGAATTGGCTGATGCAATGCAATGGTAACTTTTCATCAGCCAGGCTCATGCATAATCTACCGATATACACATACTATATATACATACTATAGACTCGTATACTCAGCAGAGATAGTCGTAGTATTGGATGTATACATATTCATATTATTCATGCGATGGCCACACGTCAGCTGAATGGAAGTGCAACAGTGTTGAAAAACAAAAAAAAAGCAAAAAAATGTTAAGATAACTCATCTAGGCCGAGTTCCTCATAGAGCCGGCCGGTGGCAAATGTTGACGCAGTAACTCGTACTACGTGAGTCTCAGCAGGTTCAGACAGTTCACTCAACAGGCGGTGGAGTAGCGGGCGCGTATGTTTTTGCTCTTTGCATATCGTGTAGTGTAAGTGGGCGAAGGGGGTGTTTCCGAGAGATTGTAAGATTTTGATGAGTGTATATCTTTAAGGGTCAACATTATCATCTTTCTGTGTTACCAACTATTTAGGATTCATGATCCTAAGCCATAGGACGTATTACTTTTTATTTCATATATTTGATCTTATTCTATGTTGATGCTCTTTTGATTATAGCTAGGGAATGAGTTAGGATCCCTACTGCTCCCGTGTTTGAATACAAACCACTCTATCAAAAATATATATTCCAAGGTTTATCCTTGCTTCAAACTAACTGGAATAACTTCTTCAAAATTTGTACAGGGTATCTGCCAGTCGACGATGCCATACCCAGTTTGCTTTCTGGCTTGTTTGTGTTGCGATTCGCAAATGTGACAAACCAGTTAGTTGGCAACTCTAATTTGCATTGCCGACGACGACAACGTCGAACGGGTTTTTGTCTGCGTCCGAGTCTGGGGCCCCAGGTCTGAGGTCTGGTCACTGAAACACAGGGCCAGCGTTGCTTATTGGAGGTGAAGGCGGTCTGGCAGGGGGTGCGGCTGGCGAGGGCGGTTAGCGGGGCTTTCTTTATTGCTCATGCGACACGTTGACTTGCAGCTGCTGCTGCTGCTGCTGCTGCTGCTTAGAACCGTCACGCTGAGCTGTCGGGCTCTGCATTTTGTAGCATTCGCTTATTTAAACCAGTTGCAGGCATCGTTAGAGGCTCAGTAGAAAGTTCCGAACAGAGGCGAACGCTGCAGCTGAATCAAGCGCTTGGCAAACGGTTCACGTAATCCTTGCGGACAAAATTACCAACTCTATAAAATTTATCATTTCTTTATCAATGTGCAAATTGCAAAAGTTTTGTGTCAATGCCAAAAATTAGCAAACCAGTTACTAAACTAGACAAACAATTAGGGTAAGTCCAGTGTTGTTAAGTTATGCGAAAAGCGAGAGAAATAAGAAAAGAAAAACAAGTTAGCTAACTGAGGCCATGTCTGTGACACATTGCAGATTGGACAAAAGCCTAGCGTGCAGCAAAGGATCTCGTACGGGCAACTCGGCCAACAATAAGGAGCTGAAGGTGTTGACTCTGCTGCAGACTGTGCCGTGAACTTTGAACTCTACGTAAGAGCTAGCTAGAAAGAGAAACGTTTAGCTACTGCGCAGCTCAGTGTAATTGGAAATCGCCATCGAGAAGTTACTAAAATTGAATCAGGCCAGAAAAGCAGCTCAAGTGAACCCAACAAAATGGTCTACACAGAACGCACCGACAAGTGTCTGACGTCCAGCAAGGAGAGCGCCGGACAGCAGGGCAAATCCCAGTCGAAGCATCAGTCCAGTTTCAGTTCCAGTTCCAGTTCCGGCTCCAGTTCCAGTTCGGGCGCCTGGAGCAGTCAGGCGTCGAGGGACGAGAAATGGAAATACAATAATATGGTCAAGGATAATCGCGACCAGTTCAACGGCATGCACTTCTCTTAACTCCCAGCCAGAAGTGGGTGGGGCTGTGGAGAGGAGGGGGTGTCTTTGGGCTAGTTAATTAGCCGGAATGCAACGTGATCGAGACCAATTGTTATGTCTGGGTTCTATGGGTAAATTTGTAAGTTAGTCTTAAGCCTGTTATTAGAAAGTGTTGAATTCTACAAAATCTGAAAAAAATTAACTAAAGAAAAAAACAGATGCGCAAAAAAAGCAAAAACGTGTTTTAAGTCGCAGATGAAACAAAAATTGAGGTTATGTTGAACTTTCTGGTTGAAAGACGAAGCGTTGTATGAGATAATGCTTTGTCTCCGATGCTGGATATAATGTTCCATTTAATTTGATTTCCGTTAAACAATACATTTTGGCTTAATAACTGTTTTCGTGAATTTAAATGTTATTGAGTTATGTTAGAGCGAAAGCATCTCGGAACTGGATATAGCTAATAAGCATATGGAGAAACCAGTTTTGATTTACTTGAATTATTTATTGACAAGCGAGATGTGTATACAGAGTGAGGTTACTTGAAAAGTTGCACACTTTTAGGTTAGTTGGAAAATAGAGTACGTGGGAATATTAAGGATAAATGTGGTTAACACCTTAAATGGTATATGTACATATACATATATGTAAATCTCTATGTGATTCAAGATTGATGTAATAGAGATTTTTAAACGTTATTATCAATGACATAAGGTGGGTAAAACGTTTGTTATCTTTCTCTTTGTCAAACATTTCGTCTTTCATCTTGGCGTATTCTATGAGTTAGATAAGATATTTCCAGTTCTAATGTTGGAATAAAAACTTACATTTGTCACGGTATTCCCTAGTAAATCACTTTCCAGCAGAGTTTCTTTACAGTATACCTATTGCTGATTACTTGATTATTATAAGAAGTATTGTAGTTAGACTCTTAATTTCTTACTTTCCCATTACTTTCCCTCTCTTTGCACCCTCTACTCACTACTCTACTCTACTCTACTCTACTCTACTACTCTACTACTTTCCGCCCTATACTAATTTGATGCATACAAATCAAGTCGTACGACACCCATTGACCTTGCTACTTGACTCATGGCATATCGCATCTATTACTGTCTGCGAAACATTTGCATGAGCTGTGGCTATTACCGTGATTAGCTTAACTTATGCAGAGGCCATCTCCCCGTCAGCCGGAACCTGGGGCAAAGTGCACTTAATACACATTAGGTACGCTTATTTGACAGACCCCGGGCCAAGGTCCGGGCCGTGCTGCAATATTGATGATGTCTGCCCGTCTTGACAAACAGCGCCCAACCCACAGCCCACATCCGATATCCCACATCCCACAGCTCACAGCTCACAGCCCAGAGCCCTCGACAGGGGGTGGCGCGTGCTCGACTGTGGGATCAAGTGTATCTCTGTCCGCTCAGCCATTGCCACAGGGTTCGACGGGATACGGTAGTCGTTGGTCGACAGAATTTACGCATCGCTTGGATTAGAAGTGCGAAATTTTTGATAATTTTTCAATTGTATTGTTTGCCAATGGGCAGATAGAGTCCTTCGAGCCATTCCCGCCCGATGGCAGTGGGAGTGAGCTGCGGTCGTCCTTTTGACACACGACTGCACAAGGCACACGTGGCGCTGGCTATTAGAAACGATTTCCTTTATGCCGCTAATAGAACTTTTTCGATACACATCAGAAAATTTTATTTTTATTCTCGCTCTCTCTCTCTCACACTCTCTTTCTCTCTCGTTATATATATATTTATTTTTTCCTCTGCGTGAAATGTTGTGGCATTCTCGGTTCCGGGTCTGCGACACTTGATGTGTGCGGCGTCTAATTGAAGCGACTTATTTTCAATTTATATACACATATATATAAGTATATATCTGTATTTTTTTTCTGTTCCTTTTGGGCTTGTAATTACTTTGTTTCCAAGCGCCGGGCGGTCGCTTCTTAATCCTGTCAGGTTGCCGGCATATTTGGGCTTTGGCATCTTCGTCACATTGCAATTAAAAACGCACAGCAGGTGTGCTCCGAAAAGTCCTTTGAACTTGTGCTATAAAATGTGAATGTGTCACTTGCAAGGATTCCACAACCGGATGACGACGGCCCGGATGGCCCCGGAATGGACCAACGGAGGGATGGGTAGACAAGCGACATTTGACGCCTGACTGCCATGATTTCTGATGCTATCCAAGTGCCAAGCAATTATCACGTCATTATCATAAGGAAGCCCGTGAACAGCTCGTTTACGTTTTGATTTTTTTACTGTGAATACTATTTATGACAGTAATGTTAGCCTGATGTCTGTATGACTAGGGGGAACTTTTAATTTTCATTACTCATTTAATATTTTCTTTAGCAAACATTGTGCAACTTTTATGTTAAGCATGTATCGTTTTAAACTGGGATATTTGTAGTCTATAGGTTTATTGCATAGTGATTGTGTCTATAAAATTCCATTTTGCAGAGGATTTCGTTGTGCAGAGTAGTCTTCCTTGCTGAGTGTTTTTATAGGTTTGTAGAGAATTGGGAAAA